TGGGTGTTTTTTTTTTTGAGAGAGATCTTAGGAGCCAGAATGCAAACAGCAAGCCTGGGCTGGGCCTTTCCTTTCAGAAAGTCCCCTGTATTGCCTTAATCCTCCTATCAGTGATCACACTGTACTGATTAGGGATGTAAGGGATAACGGTCATTGCTGAACACAAAAAATAATTCTTGGCATTTACATAGCGCTATTCAACTGCAAAGCATTTTACATAATTAACCATGCTGGGATTGCTTTCACTGCACCACTGCAATAGTCTATTCCTAAATAGTTTTGAAAGACAGAAGTGAAAACCAATTATGCAGAGTGGTAAAAATGGATCTGTGGGAGCTCTTTGCTTTTCTCCTCAGTGCCCAGCACGGGGAGCACGGAGACTTTAACACTATGGTACTGCCAATACAGAGCATGGTAACTTCATAGCTGCCATGTTAGAAAAGAGAGCGATGTAACGTGACTGTACGTGGCTTGCGAGATGGCACTTTCCTTTTCTCTTCTGGGCTCCTAAGACCTAGCTAACATTAGTTTCATCTGAAACTTACACAACACTCTTTAAACTGTAATAGGTTTCAAGGTCAAAGGAATCACTAAGAAAATGGAGCATGATCTGTGGCACTACACACACCACGGACTATTAAGTCCTGCCTCAAAGCCAAGCTTGTCACTGAACAGGACCATTTCTTTTAGACAAAAAGCCCTGTCTTGACTTCAGAGAAAAAGAATCCACCACCCTACCAGCAGAGATCTGTACTTTGAGTTTTTGGCTCTTGGATCAATTACAGAGCCCTTTTCTTTCAAAACCCTTTCCCCTTCCTACTTTCTTTTTAAGGACTGCAATCACATCACTACTTCATCTTTTCCTGGTTATACAAAGCTTTTAAAATTTCTCACCATAACGTAAATTAATGTAAATCCCCAGAATTCTCATAATTCTTTTCTGAATCCAATCCAACTTGTGACCATCTTGAAAAAATGTGACTAGGTGAACTAGACATAGTACATACTGTTACACCTATTTTACAGAAAGGGGAGCAGAAGCATGGGGGTTATATCACCTAAGTCCTCCAAATAATGCTTTTTCCTCCCACCTTTGCTATATGCTTTTGACGGTTCTTAGGGTGTCACTGAAACCAGATTAATATTTAATGCAAACATCTTAATATTAGTAATTTTTACTAAGCAGAGTTAAGGTAGTGTAAGAGTAAAACTTCTAACACTGATCTAAACAATGACATTAAAAATTTTATCTGTATTTCACATGGCTTACTCTTGGGCTAGCAGCACAAAATGCATTTCTTTGGCAGCAATTGATGCCTTCTCATATTTAATCATAGTATTGGAAGAGAAGAATATTAACAATATTGCAAGATGCCAAGGCCTTTTAAAGGTAACCGAAAGAACTTTCCACATGCAGTTGTTAGGATGCAGGACTGGAAAGCTTATTAGCTTGTTTGCTGAACCCAAGCTGTCTGTCTGTCACACTCAGGACTGCTGCTGTCAACCTACTGCACTCAATACAGACAGCTCCCGCAGCCCCAAAAATGCACATGGAGTTTGGCCAACCAGCTCTTTTTTCCTGTTAGTGACCCCAAATTTTTAATTTCTCACACCTTTCCTTAGCAGCCTGCCACTCCTGTTATCTTGTAATGTACAGAAGAGTATATGTGAATTTTGACACGACCAGACTGAAAGATGTTCAGGATTTCAGCCCAAATGGCAATAGAAGAAGCAAGGGGTAAATGCGCGGGTTTATCGTATCAAATTGTGGTAGGTAGCCCGCCCATCATCTCAAATAGTTCATATAATCCTGGAAGCACTGGGAGAGGTTATCATCTTTGGCCAATTTAAGACATCAGAGGCAAGATTAAAACCCTGCTCGTCTGTACCATGCTAGCACATCTGGAGGAGAATTTGAGAAAGCTATGCAAGATTTTTTGAGTGTAGCCAAGGCAGTACAAGTGCTTCTTCCTAAAGCAGGAGAAAAGTTGGAGCACTTTTCCTCATTCAAGAAGCAGAGAAAATTAAACCAGAAAGATCACCCCCAAGAGAACTGATTGAACTGAATCTGAAAAGAGAAGAACAGAGCTAATAAACCTGAACTGTCAGTGATGGCATTTCCTCGGCAAACCAGACAAGGACAAAAGGATGAAGCCAGCTATAGTCTTCACCAGTCCTTATGAGACAAATGCTGGCAGAGTGCCGTCAGAGAATCAGAAGGATGCAACAGCGGTGGCAACATAGCAAAAAGCATTCCCAGCCCATCTGTGATGGAGGATGATTGAATTCTGCTGGGAAAAACATACTGACTGTAGGAGGAGGTTATAAACCCCATGGCTGGTTTCCATTTTGACTACATTAGTGGAAACCAACACTAGCAACAAAAGGACACTGGACAGAAATGAAAAAGAGTTGAAGTGGTTCTTTGTTATTATGCTATTGCTCTTCATTTCAACATAAGCTGTCCCTTTGACTTTAAAAAGAAGGTACCGCTTGTTTCCTCTCTGACCATCTCCTTCAGTCTCCACACAGCACAGAACTATACGATATTTAGGCATCAACACAATATAAATTTTTAAAAGAAATAAGCTATCCCGGTCAAAGGAGAAATGAATTAAAATTACCATTTGTTACAAAAAGCAGAGAGTTCAGTTGCTAATGTGCTGACTGGAAGAGATTGGCTTGGGATCTGGAAGTTTATCTAGGTTCACACCCAGAAGATGCTGTTACAGAACCCAGAGAGTAAAGAGGAATAAAAAAAAAAAAGCTCAGACTTACATCTGTTTGAATGATGCTCCATGCATTAGTTAGGCCAATATTTCCATCTGTCCCATACAAATGAAGCCCTTTCTTCAGATCCTGCTGAGCATACTTGTCAATCTAAAACCAACAACAAAAGACACAAAACTCAAAATTTGCTGAGTACCACATTTCAGAATCAAAGTGCACAGAGGAGGGCAATGTTGGACAACAGTCCTGTACTGAAATGAATAAAAAGTTAACCAACATTTCCTAAAGCCTTTCTCCAGTAGAGCTGGTATCTATTATAGGTATCTGCATTTTGTAAAGAACATGAGGAGTCCTTGTTCTGGCTTAATATTCCTGTTTTCCATCACAGACCTCCAGAACATCTTTTCCCTTCTCACTTAACCACCAAAGTACTATAGAGAGACTGGATTCAGTTTAATCATTCATTTTTTGCCAATTTTTCAATGAATGAATATTGATCTACCCACAGCATTTCCTTTTAGCTTAATATCTTTAATTGTGACCAAGTACCCCTCAGCATCATCCATATGCTTCCGTGGGAGATCAACAGCGGCATTAACATGGTACTGATGCTCTAAATTGTGTTCACTATATCAGCCAGGGTACCCCACTTCTTACAGCAGGATGGACATAGTTATATTGAAGCAGAAGGGAATGAGCCATCCAAAATTCAGGACAGAGAGGATTTAAGAATTCAGTTATGAAATGGAGCTGCTCTTAAATAAATGCATTTTGGTTGATTTAGTGAAAGTACAAAGTTCTGCTTTAGACGCTTTTGCAATTGGAGATGATGCTTTCTCATTGAGAGCCTCTACTGGTAAAGCAGGCTATTGTTAGGTCCACTGGTCACCACCAGGTAGCATCCAAAATGATTGCAAGAGCCTCTCTCCCATACACATTGCTACAGAATCAAACACACACAAAAAAAGAAGTAAATAATAAATGGATATTCACGGTTTAACCTGATTTTTCTGTTGCGAATGAAAAGCACTGAGTAGCGCTGCTCAAATATGCCCGTACATTCCCCCCTCCCCTGGGTGCCTGTCAATGTTAGCGGTCTGTTCGACATCTAGCAAGAAGGCTAGAAGGCTGAGCAGATCCGTTGCATTTTCTTCTCCATCAATCTGCTATAAATCTGACTGCAAAATAGAGTGTCACTCTGAGATCCTTCTGCTGCAACAGTCAAAAAGAAAACCAAAATTAAATTCACAACTTGCTTCATGGGGACAGTCTAATACATACTCTCTTCCATACTGGACAACAGAGACCCATGACAGATTCTCCAGTGATTGCGCTCTGACACTAGTCATTCCAGCTGGGGAGGGGGTCTAAAATGAAGTAACCAATGCTAATTTTGAGTTAACAGAGGAAACAAAGGTATTCTGCTTCTACCATAGAGTTGGATTTTCCTTTTGCTTTGTTCAGTCAGAATTGTTTTCACTTGCTCCTGGAAAAAAAAGTGGATGCAAAGCATCTTCCACAGTGTAAAAGAGGAATTTTTAACCCACTATATCGTAATTATTATGGGGTAAATGTAAAGTTACTTAATAATATGATGCCATGAAAGACTACGACCTCAAAGAGTTCATCATGTCCAAGAAATCTCCGTTGTATGTGCAAAGGGCTGTGCTTGATCTCTCCAGTTCTTCTGTTTCCTTCCCAAAAGTTTACCACCATCAAGCTGAGCCACTAATAAAAGAGCTTTGGGACAGTACAAGAAAGATGTACAACATAATCTCAGCACCGTAACTATCATGCAAACACTTTCTCATGGATGACTATCTTGAACAGTAGGTGCTGTGCTCCCACTGTAATTATCATGTAAGCCGCTTTTGACTTTATGCAGAGATTATACATAGTCACTGGTACGTTAATTAGAAGAGAAAACCAAAGCTGAAAGCTATCATTAAATCTGGAATTAGTTGCGAAAATTACAGGCAATAAATGATAAACTAGTATGTGTGGGGGACTCCTGGCATTCATTTAAGAATTAGATTGAACTGGGTTTCAGCTCTTCACTTATCCTCAGCTCCCTGTGTCTCAACTGGACCTGCTGTGGTCTCGAGCGGAGCCATCAATTAGGATGGAAGGGTGCGGTTGTGTGGCTAGTCTGAGAGGGGCTCTGAAATTTAGTTAGTGTCCTACAGAGCTAGCGAGGTAAATTAATTGCTGAAAAAGTAATTCTTATTCAGAAAGGGACAGAGGTGAAGAGGAATAGCATAGCTGAGGGCAAGTGGGGACAGAAATCTAGCTAGCAAGTCTGTTGCCTTGAAGACGAAACAGAAAGGTCTATTTGGAATATTACTTTATCACACCTGAGAAAATCTGCCCTGTAAAGTGAGAGAGCTATGCATCAGCCTACAGTTCATATCATCACTAATCTGGAACAAGGGAGGTCAGGTCAAATGAAACAGTGATGCTTATCTGAAGTGCAAAATGCCATGCTACCAAAAGGCTGCAAAATGCAAAGTTTGCATTTCCTCACTCAAATTTTGCTTTGCAAACCAACACAGTGGCTCAGCATGACAATCCCTTTCACCAGGGCTCACCAGCTGCCCTTCGTAATGCAATCCTCATGTCTTGTTTGAGATCAATAATAAGAATAGTAACTTCATAATAATTTAGTAACTTATGATCAACATTTATAAAGTACTTCAAGATCAGGAACAAGGTTTTGTTAGTCCACGTGTGCTTTAACGTGGTCTCAAGAGATTGCCTCTTTTGCTCTTCCTTTTCCCTGGAGAAGATGCACTAGCAAGCAACTTGCTGAGGCAAAATAAAAGCAAGTCCTCTCTTCCTCATAAAATCAACCACTTTTACCTGCAGAAAGAGTGCAAGGCCTTTATACTGGCAACACAACTGGCAACAGATTTCCATATTTCAGAAGCAAGCAGAGCATTACTCAAGAAAACAGGCACTATGTGATCAGTTCTCTCACTATTTCAAAAAGTCTCAACACCGAGTCCCTCAACATCAAGTCACGCACATCATGTAACCCATTATTATCTGTAGTTTTAAAAAGAAAGTGCCTGTTTGAATCTTGCTTGGAAGAGGACATAAGCTTTTTATAATCCCACACCACACATGTGTCTCATTTCCTTCTCTCTCTCATGTCTACGCAGGTTGCAACTCTGAAAGAGGCATACACATGCTGTGAAACAGCATCTCCACATTTCTTCACTTTTTTATTTCATGTCCACTGACTTGGGAAGGTATCTGGAAATCTTGCGCAGTTTTATACATATATATACACACACACAGAGTTTTATATTTGTTTGAGTGATTGTAAATGTAGGATTTTACATTGTTCTCCTTTACTAAAGTTTCTAACTGATCTTCTAAGCACGTGTGCTGTAAATGCACCAAAGAGTGCTATTCTCTGAAGAGCAGCTGACTTAAAACCTCTTTTTCACAGAGCTACTCCTTAAAGCATTCATGCTCTCCTGTTTGCTTACACTAGGGTCAAAAACGTCTTCATCACCACCTAGAAATAGGCTTGGCCCACACAACAGAGTCTGTGACCCTTTGGCACCAGGAAAACGGGGAAGCAGGCATCGGCCTTTGGTCTCCTTTCGCTTGGGTCTGCAGCTGAGGTACCAGCATGAAGTCCCTCATCGTTTGTGTCTCCCCTGTTTCTACTCAGTTACACAGAAGCTTTTTTTATTCATGTGTTATCTTGCATGAATTAATCAGTCTTGACGCAGAAGTAGCCTTGGACTTCTAAGAGCACGGATGATATTTAAAACAAGACCACTTCTCTCATTCAGGCTGCGAGGAGTTCAGAGTCTACGTGCAGTCCTATTAAAAGCACATTGACCTCTGCTTAAATAACCTGTGTACAAGGTTGTAAGATGGATATTTTCCCCCTAATTGAAGCACTGCTTGAAGCTCTAGACATATGATTCCTACTGGCTTTGACCAGAGAGGGGTAAGTAAAACTCAAGACCTATTTGTGAAGCATAGCTGGCAAATTCTCCTCAAGGTCATTCTGTTTCCTGCTAACCTTAATTTTGTTTCTTCCTCAAAATATTTTTAGAATAGCAGGAACTTTTCAGTATGCCTTTATTCTAATTGTGTATTTGATTTAAATGAAAACTCACAAAACACCCCCAGCTGTCTCTTCTGCCTTCAGTTTGAGTTTTTCTGAAAATGAAATGCCGCACCACAGTGATTCATCATGTCTCCTGACAAATGATCCCACCCAGCATTCACTAATCTGCCAGCTTCTCTTGTTTGTCTCTGTGCTACCAGTCCTCAGCCAGGCAAAATGTCTAGCGCAAAACAGGGACTGTAAGTACTACATTAAATATTCGGCAATTTGAATCTGCTGCGTTCTCCCACACGCAAGCCAGGCCCTTCACAAAGTACAACTCAATCTAGTGAAGGAGCACAATAAAACATAATAAAAATTCTCAGCAGGCAAATAGTTACTCTAAATGAGATGCCTATTTTTAGTCATGTGGAATACCAGACATTTCCTTAGAAGAATGAGTTTCTGAAAGGCTGGGCAGTAAGAACCTTTTGTCAATCTGGAAGCGAGGCAGAGAAAAATTATTTTCCTCCTTGGGATCCACTGGTCAACAGATGAGAGGTGTAAGCTTCAGGCTGCTGCCCCATCCACGTCAACTCTGGTGAATTCTGCCTTCAGACATCGGAGGGTTCCTCATGCTTACCAGTGCCATCAGATTTCAACGGTGTTTCTACTAACATAAGTTAAATGTGTCCTGTTGCTCAGTGTCGTAATCCACTGCAATCCACGACTGCAAGAGAACCACTTCTCAGAGTGGGGCACGCGTATCTCTAGCACTTTATCTAAGGTGAGATCCTGTTCCCGCTGCAATGAGCACAAATACTTTCTCACTGACTTCTATCAGGCCCTAATTTGGCTCTTAAGTCTCTCATTGACCTATTAAAAAGACTTTCTAAAAAGCATATACTACTCTAAGGTAGACAAGTCATGTAGAGAGACTTTCAGGCAACAAAGGAAACTCAGTATTTGAACCAGAGAAGAGAAAGCTACAAGAGATGCAGCAGGACTGGAGAAAAACTGCCACAGAGGTCAGGAAAAGTGGCTGGAAGCAGCTGATGCAGCGAGAAGGAACGGGCAGGGA